GGGGTGGGGAGCTGGGGAGAGATAGCAAGGGAGAAATGCCAGATGTAGGTGATGGGGAGGAAAGCAGCAAATCACACTGCCAAATGTGTACCTATGCAACAATTTTGCATGTTCTTCACATGTACCCCAAAACCTAAAATGCAATAAAATAAATAAATGGGGGGGGGAAAAGAAAAAAAACAACTTGCATAACCTCCTCTTTCCCCATTTAAACCCTAATCATTTAATTTTTTCTCCAGACATACCATTGACAACCCTAGTCTGTATGTAAGTCCTGGATTGCAATCTTATTTCTTGTATATTACTCTCAAACAAAACGTTTTTACGTGAAGAGCTGTCTCTATATATTTATATTGCAAGTTGACAGGAGCTTTCCACAAGTCTCACTTATACCACAGACAGAGACCTTCTTTCAAACTTTCAGGATCCCAGTAGGTGGTTTTCACCACCAAGCCCAGGCCTGCAGCTCCTCAGCAAATGTCTTTGTCAGCCAGTAGGCCACAGCTACACCTGCCATGAGGTCTGAATCTAAGGCTTTGGGATGGCACTCCCAAGTTTGTTCCTTAAGTGCTCTCTCTCAGGCCTACAGGGAGTGGCTGCTCCTCACATCTGCTGTTCCTCTATTTTTCAGCGCTGTGCTGTCCAAAACAGTATGCATTAGCCCCTGTAGCTACCAAACACTTGAAATGCGGCTCCTCTGAAGTGAGATGTGTTTAATTGTAAAATACGTACTAGACTTGGTACAAAACACAAAGAATGTAAATTATCAATAATTATATATTGATTAGAGCATATTTTATGTTGATTACCATATGTGTTCCACATTGTTCTAAGCTTACATGAATTAACTCCTTTAATATTCTATACACTGTGGGGTAAATATTGTTGTACCACTTTTGTGCCTATTACACATATAAGAAATCATGTAGTCTCTGCCTCCACAAAGCAACAGTCTAGTAGATATCAAACACTGTGTGCTTCCATCTAGGACAGGATGTGGAGCTGAGTACTCTAAGAACGTGTCAAAAAGTAAAAGGGTGGAAGCTAAGCCTTGAAGCATAGCCAGATCTCCACAGAGAAGGACAGCAAAGAGCTTACTGAAGACAGAGGGCTCATCAAGCATTGGAGTCTGAACATCAATGGCAGGCTTGGAGGCTATCTTGGAGTGGATGGGGATCTGGCCCAACTGAAGACGAAGGTAATCCATTCCCTAATTCAACGGCGGTTTACCAGCTCCTACCACGTGCTGGGCTCTACTTAAGACACCAAGTCTATAGTCATGGAAAGGACTAAGTCCCTCCGCTTATGGAGTACACATTCTAGAGGAGGTACAGACCATTATTTCAGAATAGATCTATCACATAATGTCAGAAAGTGGTATGTACAATGAAGAGTAATTAAACAGTGTGAAGGGATAGAGAGGGGGGAGTGGAAAAGTGCTAGGTCAGATGGGGTAGTGGGAGCCTCTCTGCAGAGGTTATGTTTGAGTAGGAACCTGAATTAAAGGTAAGGGAAGATCTAGAGTTAGACAAGCAGGTGCTGTTATATCATGGAGGACATGGGTTTTGCAGCTTGATTGGCCAGGCTGTCAATAGAGAGCCAACGTAGTCTCCTTTTAGGGTGACCTTCAGTCTGTTTGCTGAAGACAGTCCCAGGTTACACCTTTGGTCTCAGTTTGCCCAAGCATAACTAGTTGCACTTCCACCCTCAATGGCATCTTAGTTTGCTGATAAATTATATTGCTATCCTATTTATGAAGCAGAGCCATACAAAAGGCTGTTTCATAAATAGCTCTGATGATAGGAACAGGATACATGAGAAGGAGGGGACCAGAGTCAGCAGTGAGGCTAGTTTAGCAGCTTTTTAAGAATAATACAGGCAACAGGAGACATGGGCCTAGATTTACAGAAAATGCTGGTAACAAACGGTCACCTCTACCTCTCTAAGGCATTGCTCTGATCATACTGCTCTCCTGTTCAGAAACATTTAAAAGTCCCCTATTGAAGTAGGCACAACTCTTCCTGGTTTCTAAGCCCTCCTCAATACACTCCAAACTATTTTCCAGCCTCTTAGTTACTTTGTAGCCATATGATTTGTGGTCATATGGCTACAAAGTGAAATGTGAGCACAACAGGAAACAGTTGAGCTAGAGGGACAGGCAGGTAAGAGCTGGTGTCCCTCCTCCACCACTATCTCACACCCATGGAGCCTACCTGTTCCCACTGGCATAGCTATAAGATGGAGCACTACCTAACCCCCTTCAGACTTCGTGTGAGCAAAATCTAATCTTTGTTGGGTTAAGTCTCTGAGATTTCCAGTTCTGTTTGTCAGCTACTATTAATTACCCTATCAGAGCCACCAATAGGTCCCTCGATATCTCCCTGCTAAAATCCAGCCCTTTCTTTAAGACCAAGATCGAAAATGTTTACATTTCATTTCTTAACTGCAACTGTAAGTAATCTCCTTTAAAGATGCATAGCATTCTTTATTGTTTAAAGTATTTCTGGCTGGGCATGGTGGCTCATGCCTGTAATCCCAGCACTTTGGGAGGCAGAGGGGAGTGGATTGCTTGAGTTCAGGGGATCAAGACTAGCCTGGGCAACATGGTGAAACCACATCTCTATCAAAAAAAGATAAAAAATTAAGCTGAGTGTGGTGGCATATGACTGTGGTCACAGTTACTCAGGAGGCTGAGGAGAGAGGATCACATGAGCTCAGGAGGCTGAGGTTGCAGTGAGCTGAGACTGCACTACTGCATGCCAACCTGGGCAACAGAGAGAGACCCTGTCTTTAAATAAATAAAATGAATTCTGATATACGAATTAGGTGTATACCTACCTATCCTGTTCTCCTAACCCCTCACCCCACCCCACCTCCACCTACTAAATCAGTCTCACAGAGATGAGTGACATGGTTTGGATGTGTCCCAACTCAAATCTCATCTTGAATTATAGTTCCCATAATCCCCGTGTGTCATGGGAGGGACCTGGTGAGAGGTAATTGAATCATGGGGCAGTTTCCCCCATGCTAGTCTTGTGATAGTAAGTTCTCGCAGGATCTGATGGTTTTATAGGGGGCTTCCCCTTCACTTGGCTCTTATTCTTCTCTCTCCTGTCTCCTGCCACCATGTAAAGAAGAATGTTACTTCCCCTTTCACCATGTCTGTAAGTTTCCTGAGGCCTCCCCAGCCAGGCAGAACTGTAAGTCAACTAAAGCTCTTTTCTTTATAAATTACCCAGTCTCAGGCATTTCTTCATAGCAGCCTGAGAAGGAACTAATACAATGGGAAAACTGACTTTAAAGTCATTTTAGCTTTATCTTAAAAAATTACAAAATGGTGAGGCTGGGCACAGTGGATCACAGTTGTAATCCCAGCATTTTTGGAAAGCCATGGCAGGAGGATCACTTGAGCCTAGGAATTCAAGACCAGCCTGGGCAACACAGTGAAACCCTGTCTCTACCAAAAATACAAAAATTAGCTGAGCATGGTGAACCATGTCTGTGGTCCCAGCTACTGGTGAGGCTCATCTAAGCCCAGAAGGTAGAGGCTATAGTGAGCCATGATCACTCCAGCCTGGAAAACACAGCAAGCCCCTGTCTAGAAAAAAAATTACAAAATGGTTAACCATGCCCTAAAAAAAAATAACTAAATAAAAAAAAGGAAAGACTACAATGGGCTTCAGATAGTACTTTCTGAAATACAAGTACCAGATTAGGGGAATGTTTTATACATATACAGTGCTGTAACCCAAATGATTATGGTTTCTACAATTCCCACTGGGCTTTACAATGGGAAGGGAAATATGAGCACAACATTTTCAAGCTAACAGGTCCAATAGGTGTTCTCAGAATTGAAGCCTTTCCTTTGGGGAGAATGAGAGCGTGGCAAAGGCCTGAGGTGAGTACAGTTATAGATGACAGAGAGGAACAGCTCTGGGATGTCTAGTCCAAGTACCCTGGAATTTTCACACCACGGACAGAAGTAATTCAACTGACATCTATTGTACCGGAGTCACTACAAATATCCAAAACACCCTATGCAACCCAAGCCTCCTATACAACTACTCCATCACTGCCACCACCCTGACTTTTTAAGATCTCTGCATTGTCCATCCTGCTTGCTGAACTATTTCTCCTAGTCTCATCACCAGTCTAGGTAAGGAAGGGTGGTGAAGAACTTAATGTTTCCTTCTTACATTGCAGTGCAGAATATGTATCTCATAGAATATTTTACACATAGTGATTCTCTGGTTAACCAAGACAAGTAGCCACATATATGTCAGAAAATCAGCTGGCAAACGATGTGCCTGACATCCTGCTGGCCTCATCTTGGATTCCAGACATGGCTGCAGTAAACAGTTCTGTGCTAGCTTCTCACATCAACAAAATGTCCTTTGCTTTCTGTAGTGGGAATCCTCTAACGCTGTAGGATGGGACTCTGGGAAGAGCCCACTCCCCTCACACATATGAGGGGCCAGAAGAGGATGGGAGTCAAGATCCCCAAAAATTTTTTTTCACCAATGCAGGATGAAAGATGACAAATAAATGTTATTCCTTGACCCTCTTCAGGTGGTCAATTCCAGGAAGCGTTCTATAAGCTCAAAGGTCATGGCAGGACACACCAGTTACCTACCATGCTAATCAACTTGATTACCTATGGTTGTATGGCTTTTTCTTCTTCCTAAGAAGTTTTACTCTCCTCAATCTCTTCCTCGTTTTACTCTTCTCAAATACACTACCTGCACACAAGTCCTTGTTTCAGGTACCTCGTGCATAGGAAAATAGGCTAAGAAAACATGTAAGTCAGTGCTCTTCCATCTTTCCAACTGTTCTTTCATTGTTCAACTCTAATCTTGTTCCCTAAAAGATTAAGGAGGAGGGAGGATCCAAGATGGCCAAATAGGAACAGCTCCAGAGTGCAGTTTCCAGCAAGAACAATGCAGAGTGAGTGCCCACCGCATTTCCAAACAAATTTTCACTGCCCACAGACAAGGAGATTCCCAGGCCGAAAAGTGCCATGAGTTTTCAACACGGCGATTTCAGCCGGTGCCGTCTTGGCACACAGAAACTCACACAACTGGGTGGGTGTTTCAACTGGCACCTGGAACTCCTGGCAGACAGAGCCACCCACTCAACTGAAAGGGACGGGATAGAGATAGGGAGCCAGGTGATCTGGCTCGGCGGGTACCACCTCCACAAAACAAGCAATCTGAAACACTCTGGATTGAAAGTTTCGCAGCAAGTGCAACTGGACCCAGAACGGTCCAGCTCAGTGGGAGGATGGGGAACAACCACTACCGAGACATTCCGCCACTACCAAGGCAGTTCACACAGTAGCTGGGCAGAGCCTGCGGCAGCTCAGCAACACATCTACTGAAAAACTGTGACTAGACTACTCCATGTGGGGCAGGACATCTATGAAAAAAGGCAGCAGCATGACAGTAACTTATAAATAAAGCTGACCTTCCTAGGACAGAGCACCTGGAAAAATAGGCAGTTATGAGTTCTGCTGCAGCAGACTTAACAGTACCTGCCCAGCAGCTCTGCATGAAACAACGGTGCTCCCAGCACAGCACTTGAGCTCCTATAAGGGACAGACTATTGCCTCAAGCAGCTCCCCAACCCCCATATACCCAAAGAAACACCTCATAAAGGAGAGCTCAGGCCGACATCTGGCAGGTACCCTTATGGGACGAAGATAACAGAAGAAGAAACTGGCAGCAATCCTTACTGTTCTGCAGCACCTGCAGGTGATCCCCAGGCAAGCAGGGTCTAGAGTGGACCTCCAGCAGTCCTGCAGCAGAGGGTCCTGACTGGTAGAAGGAAAACTAAGAAACAGAAAGAAATAACTTCATCATCAACAAAAAGGATGTCCACTCAGAGACCCCATCTGAAAGTCACCAACTACAAAGACCACAGGTAGATAAAGTCACTAAGATGGGAAGAAACCAGCGTAAAAAGGATGGAAACACCAAAAATCAGAACGCCTCTCTTCCTCCAAAAGAACACAACTCCTTACCAGCTAGGGATCAAAGATGGATGGAGAATTAATCTGACGACTTGACAGAAACAGGCTTCAGAAGGTGGGTAATAACAAACTTCTCAGAGCTAAAAGAACATGTGCTCACCCAATGGAAAGAAACTGAGAACCTAGAAAAAAGGTTAGATGAGATGGCACCTAGAATAGACAGCTTAGAGAAGAATGTAAACGACTTGATGGAGCTGAAAAACACAGCACAAGAACTGTGTGAAGTATACACAAGTTTCTATAGCCAAATTGACCAAGCAGAAGAAAGAATATCAGAGATTAAAGATCAACTCAATGGCATAAAATGAGAAGGCAAGAATAGAGAAAAAAAGAGTGAAAAGAAATTAACAATGCCTCCAAGAAATATGGGATTATGTGAAAAGACCTAATCTACATATGATAGGTGTACCTGAATGTGACGCAGAGAATGAATCCAAACTGGAAAACACTCCAGGATATTATCCAGGAGAACTTCCCAACCTAGCAATGCAGGCCAATATTCAAGTCCAGGAAATACAGAGAACACCACAAAGATATTCGTCAAGAAGAGCAACCCCAAGGCACATATTTGTCAGATTCACCAGGGTTGAAATGAAGGAGAAAATGCTAAGGGCAGCCAGAGAGAAAGGTCGGGTTACCCACAAAGGGAAGCCCATCAGACTCACAGTGGATCTCTCAGCAGAAACCCTACAAGCCAGAAGAGAGTGGGGGCCAATATTTAACATCCTTAAAGAAAAGAACTTTCAACCTACAAGTTCATATCCAGCCAAACTAAGTTTCATAAGCGAAGGTAGAAAGAAAATCCTTTATGGACAAGCAATTGCTGAGAGACTTTGTCACCACCAGGCCTGCCTTACAAGAGCTCCTGAAAGAAGCACTAAACATAGAAAGGAACAACCAGTACCAGCCACGCCAAAAAATGTGCCAAATGGTAAAGACCATTGACACAATGAAAAAATGTGTGAACTAACGGGCAAAACATCCAGCTAGCATCAAAATGGCATGATCAAATTCACACATAACAGTATTAACCTTAAATGTAAATGGGCTAAATGCCCCAATCAAAAGACACAGACTGGCAAATTGGATAAAACCTCAAGACCCATCAGTGTGCTGTATTCAGGAAAACCATCTCAAGTGCAAGGACACACATAGGCTCAAAATAAAGGGATGGAGGAAGATTTACCAAGCAAATGGAGAGCAAAAAAAAGCAGGAGTTGCAATCCTAGTCTCTGTTAAAATAGACTTTAAACCAAGAAAGATCAAAAGAGACAAAGAAGGGCATTACAGAACAGTAAAAGAATCAACGCATGAAGAAGAGCTAATGATCCTAAATATATATGCACCCAATACAGGAGCACCCAGGTACATAAAGCAAGTTCTTAAGGACCTACAAAGAGACTTAGGCTCCCACACAATAATAGTATCAACACTCCACTGTCAATATTAGACAGATCAATGAGACAGAAAATTAACAAGGATATCCAGGACTTGAACTCAGATCTGGACCAAGTGGACCTAACAGACATCTACAGAAATCTCCACCCCAAATCCACAGAATATACATTCTTCTCAGGACCACATCACACCTACTCTAAAACTGACCACATAATTGGAAGTAAATCACTCCTCAGCA